CGTCGTATGGTAACCTAGCAAACTCTAATATATACATGAAAGTCCTAAAATTTTTGGAATTGAAAATTATTATTTGGAATACTTTTAGGAAGACTCCGAAATTTCTGGGGATACATATGTCGAAAATTTGTTTTGCAGTCTAAAATCTGAAAACTAGCTATATAAAATTTCAATTCCAGGTTCGAAATTTTTCACATCACGCAGATTTCGCTCGAAGAATTTTGCCTTCCTAGCTCAGCGATTCCTGTGCTAAAATATTTGAAAGACATACGGACACACATGGACAGTCTCATCCAAACACGCCGACACATACAGAAACGTCCAAGACGGTCGCGTTTTGAAACGTTTTTTTTTACAACGCTGATGTAGCACAGAATGCAAAAAAGCATAAAAATTATAAACCCAGTAATCGTGATCCTCATTTGTGGCATGCTTTGGTTCCAGTGTGTCGCCGCCACCAACGTGCTTGTGTCGCCACCGACTGCAGTCAAACACGGAGAGCAGAGGCTGAAAAGTTTGCAGTAGGATGCAACAGCCATTCGGAAATAACCATTCATTTGTATCATCCTCTACATCAATTTTAACAACTTTTTCTAACATAGTAATAATTGGAACAAAATCAGCTATAATTCATAATCAACTTCCCCATCTATGAACCCACCAACGTTTCCAGTTGCTCTAACCAATGCTGCATCGTGGTCAGCTTGCTGCTGAAACATTTCGTCTTCTGCAGAAACTACCGGCTAAGCGTTCCTTCGACAAAAGTCCTTGGTAGGGTTTTAACAGTTTCGAGATGTCCCTGGTGTGTGTTTTCAACATGGTGCGGTACCAGTATTTGGGCACAATAAGGCAATTCAGCGGCAAGGAGAATGTAAAAGAAAAAGTATATTAAAAGTAAGAAAGTTAATAAATGAGAGTGTACCATATGATTTCGCCAGGCATCGTAGAGCGTGCTAAGTGCTGCAAATGGAACAACAAGCAGTGGTCCGACCATTGTCAACCACGCAACCAATTCATAGCGCAAGGGTAATGGATAATCCTCCAGTGTTACACGTTCGTAGCTAAACAACGAAGCGATCATCAAGAACTGAAACACAACCAATGTCATTACTAGAATAGCACAGGATATGCGCATCGTTCTTCCACAGAAGTGCACTAATTAAACCAAGGCTGAAACGCACAGAGCGACCCCGTGCGATCATGCGTTTTTGCACCGGATTTGAATTACTCAGGTCATTATTTGAATAAATGGCTGTTGCTTTACACCTAGTTTTTGCAGTCACCAGCATAAATTACCAAAAATTTTGCAAAGTAAATGTACAATTCCCATTTAACAGTAGTTCTTTAAAAGTAACCTAGTTGTTCAGTGAGAATTTTTCTCGTCAAGACTTTTAAGTGCCCGTATTTAAGAACCACGTAAACCTCAAGGCTGAATTTGAAACACTTAAGTTGTACCTGGACAGGGAACATCCTCTCAAAATTTCAGCTTTCTAGCTTTTCTGGTTACTGAGTCAGTAATTTTCCGCCACATACCCGTACTTGGGTAAAACCTCCACATACTCGTACTTGGGTACTCGACGTGCTTGGAGAGCGGAATTTGAAATTTTTAAACTGCACGTGGATAGGGAACATCCGCCTAAAATTTTAGCCTTCAGCTCTCCTGGTTACCGAGTTAGTAATTTCCCGCAGAAAATTTTATACGTCCTTACGTGAGTACCATGCATAGCTTGGGGCTGAATTTGAAATATTTGAGTTGTACCTGAATAGGGAACATCCCTCCAAAACTTCAGCTTTCTAGCTGAAGTTTTGGAGGGATGTTTTCCGCCTAAAACTTTCATACGCCCTTAAGTGAGTACTACGCACATCAGCAAGTATATGAACAGGGAATATTCCTACAAAGTTTCGGCCTTTTAGCTCATGTGGTTCCCGAGATCGCTTTTCCGCCAAAAAATTTGCAAATTTTTTTAAAGCGTCCATACGCGGCACTCAGGCGTTCGAGGGGGATAAAATTAAAATGGGAGGGTCGCGCTTGGTATGAGCACATACTCCCAAAGTTTAAGCCTTCTAGCTTTTCTGGTTCTCAAGTTGAAAGTGGGTGACAAAAAGTGCGAACACACAGACACACACACACACACAGACATGCACACATAAACACACAGACAGCCTCTTCCCAATATACGTTTTTGCAATTTGCATATATGCAAAAACACATAAAAATCAGTAGGTTTTAGCAATGCTAACCAGTCGATGCTGACGAATCTGACGTAACGGCAAGTAGCGCTGTTCTAGTGCCTGAGGTCAGGAGTTTAACTACGCCGCTGCAACAAGCAATCCCTCTACGGACCACTTATTAATTCCAGCACTTTGTAGATGCCATACTAGCAAATGTCAGGAGTCAAACCTTCCACCAACTTGCTTCAAGCAACTCTAAAAAAAGTTACCAGCACGACAGCCTTGCCAGCGAGTGCTCGCCGCTGGAATGTGTTACTGCTAGAGCTATTTTCGAATGCATCCGTCACTGAATATGGGCTTTTGGTTTTTAGCAGGTAAATAAGTTTAGTCTTTTGGTTAATAACTAGTAGCTTCAACGGCGTGTTGACAAAAGAATGAGAAAGCGATCATGGAAAATGTCTGTTATAAGGCAAAAAGCCAAGGTAGTCTGTCTGCTCAGATTTCTAGAAATCGAACTGAACTTACAAGAAGGATGCATGGACTGCACAAGGACCACGTCCAACGGATATAGTCGCCTGTCGGACCAAAGAAAAATTTGAGTTTACTCCATGCTGTTACCTGCTTGACACTCAGATTTTGGGATTGCAG